TCTTACCACTATGCCCTTGAATAATATTGATAAAGTGATAAATCAACAACCATCAAAAAGCTGCATGTAATAGATTTTTAAAAAAATCCTTACCTAAAGATCTATTTATTGATTTTAGAGAGAGGAAGGGGGACAGGAGGGCGGGAGTGAGGGAGTGAGTGCAGAGAGGTTGGGAGGGAGAAAAATGAGAGACTAGAAAGAGAGGTGAGAGGGAACATCAATCAGTTGCCCTCCCATAGGCACTCCAGCCAGGGAATGAACCACAACCTAGGTATGTGCCCGCATCAGGAATGGAACCTGCAACCTTTCTGGTGTATGGGACTACATTCCAACCAATTAAGCCACCCAGCCAGGGTGCAACGGATTGTTAAATTTGCATTTTCAGTGCTATATAAACTAAAACATTCTTATTTCCTGTATTAAGAGTATGACATCAGAAATTTCTAACCCTTAAATATCTCAGGCAAAACAAAATTTATCTTAAGCTTTTAAAAAAATGGAAATTAAATATTGAAAAACAAAGCTTTATAAAAGTAATCAAACTTCCAAAAACTGGAAAATATTGTCTAGCAGATAGAGGGACAGACAACAAAAGTAAACAGTATGTCCAAAAACAGCATAAAGGCCATATAAGTTATTAAGTCTACTTAACTGTCAACTGGAATTGAAAAATAATTTAATAAAAAATGTCTACTTAGCAAGTTATCATTTAAAATATTATATAGGCAAATATGTATAAAATAAGTGGGAAGAAAATAAAATTCATATACGGAATCATGATTAAGTAAAATTATACTACAAACAATACCAAAAATACAAACAAAAGTCTAATGTATATTTAAAGATGCATAAGAAAAATAAATCAGCAGAGCAGAAGAGGGACTAGAGTTCCACACATATATAGGAATTAAGTATAACATAAGTGGTATTTCACAACACAGTAAAAGACAAACTGAGTCATTAATCATTAAATGATGAGGGGATACAGACTATCAGTTTGAAATAATTAATTATATCCCAACATTATATATAGTAGGAAGAAAAAACCTAAGAAATAGAATTATTGGGACAAAAACTACAAAAACTAGCATAGTACTTTTACAGTTATGAATTGAGAAAGCCATCTTAATTATATCCAGAATCTATAAGAGCAGAGGCAAATATTAATACACAAACTCAGAACTAAACAGAAAAGTATTCAAAGAATATAGGAAATTCACAGCACAAATAAAATGGCTAAAAAATATTTTTAAAAAGATGATCAAAATGGGACTGGAAAAAAGAAGATGAAGGGATTAGCCAAAGAACACATACACATAACTCATACAGACAACAGTGTGGTGATGGCCAGGCGGATTGCGGAGGGGGGGGGGCGGTGTCAGGCAAAGGGGTGACATGGGGACATATGTATTAGTGTCAACAATAAAAAATAAAGAGGAAAAAAATAAAAGATCAAAATGAACAAAAAAATGTAAGCCTATCAAAACAGAAAAATTTTTTAAGATCATTGAAATTCAGAGTGGACAAGGATGTAAAGGAAAAGACGCACTCATACTTTAAGGAATTTAAAAAGGCATAACTTTTGGAGAGCTTGAGTACACTATCAACACTGGAAACATACATTCCCTTTGACCTCGCTATTCTATTCTACTCCTAAGAATCAAGCTTGCAGATACTCTTCCACAACTATACAAACCTGTTGTCACCAGGATGTTGTTTCCATACGACATATAATGCACAAACTAAAAATAGCAACTCAGGATATGCAATCTGACACCATGAGAAGAGGGAAAGAAACTAAACAAACAACATTCATACAATAAATACTACGCCCTCATTTTATTTTAATGGGTTAAATCTGAATATACTGATGTAAAACTGTGAAAGATAAACACGGTCCTCTCTCCTCTCTCACAGCTTTCCCATCCTTACTTCTAGAACTTGGAACTGGTGATTATTCCTTTTAAGAGCCATCAAACTATGATTTGCAATTTTCTACAGAAGCCTAGCAATTTAAACTAGATAACTGTACTACGTGATGCATTGAGATTTTCTAAAAGCATGCTTCCTTATACCAACTACATCATGAAAAAACATATTCAAAATTAAGTAAAAACATTATCTTATTAAATATGAAAGAATTTCTGATCTCTATACTGCCTCCTCTCCAAAAATACAAAAATCAAAGTGTTATTATAAGTGCCCTATCCATGAATGCCTTCAAAATAATGCTAAGTGATTATGCAATAATACAACTTCTGAATGGTGAAATGATTCCCATAGCAATCTATGAATTAATCAATAGTCTAAGCTATCTACTTAATAGCCAGCTACAGTTAGACATAAGTTTCCAAAATAATTCATAATTTCTAAAATTAAAAAAAACACTTGTTTTCATTCTTAACAAATGCTTCACTAATGGCCTCCTGAATATGATAAAGCCAATTCCTGAAGTTCCACTTTAGATTAATGTCCATTAAAAAAGAAGAACAATTAATGACACATCACTATCTGGCGAATCACAGCTCTTTTGGTAAATATAAATCTTGACCTCTCAGTTTCAACTTTAAAGTGATGTTATCTACTTAGTACCAAAAATGTCTAAATATCTCAAATAATTTTCCTATCTTATGACAAGGAATCAACTATAAATGATAATTTACAAAGAGTTCTGTGGAATAACCTCCTGGTTTATTAAAAACCTAAACATTTCTTTACTTGCAAAAAATGTTTAACATTATTCATGGGTGTCCAACCTTTCGGTGTCCCTGGGCCACACTGGAAAAAGAAGACTATCTTGGGCCACGCACTAAATACACTGCGACATGTAATCACACACACACAAAAATCTCATAATGTTTCAAATACATTTATGATTTTGTGTTGGGCTGCATTCACAGCCATCCTGGGCTGCATACACCCTGCGGGCTGTAGGAAGGACATCCCATGGTTTCTTTGGAATATAAAATTTCATGCTGAAAAACAAAACAAAACAAAAAGTGCCTAGAAGACTTTATTTCATGACAGTGATTACCACTGCGGAAGTTCAAAGAAGCAGAAACAGTTGCAGAGGTGGGACTTGGTTTTGCTATAATTTTACATTTTTTTAGGTAAAAATTAAAAGTAAATATGTCTTTTTGTTGGCTGATTCCCTGGGTTCTAGACAATTCACTACCTCTTTGTGAGCTTGGACAAGCTATTTAATATCCCTGTGCTTCAGTTTCCTTACCTGTAAAATGGGGATAATAATACTTCCTGCTATATAGGATTAAATGAATTGATATATGTGGAGTGCTTAGAATAGTACCTGATATACATGATAAATGTTACTGTTATTATCATCAGCTTCATCACACACTGGAAATAGAGGATAGGGGGCAGTATCTGTTCTATTTTCCACATTTACATTTCAAACATAAATTCTATTTTGTAACCAGTGATAAATAACCAACTTAAGTGAGAAAGCAGTATAAAGCAGAATAACAAAGATTTAGTCCTCTCTTCAAGTTTCAAAAACATGAGACAATACAGGCTTTGGAGTTTGATATTTATTTTTAGCAGGAAGAAAATGCTAATGATGATGACATCGTTAGAAGACAGGCCATGTCCAACACCTGCAACAGAAGCTCAACAGAAGTTAAAGAAACCAACCAAAAGACTGAAGACAAAAATTGCATGACATGACTTACCCTTAATCCTGCTTACAATAAAAAAGTAACAATATGTTTAAGGTTGAAGTTCCATTACAAGATGAAAAACTGGTAAGTTAACTATCCAAAGTATGGTTTTAAAAAATTCCCCTTTCCTTTCTCTGGAGAACTGGACAAATTCTCTAAAGGAAGAGCATGGTGTCGACTATGTTCTAAGAGTGTATATGTCAACAGAGAAAGAACAAATTGAAAAGGGGTAATGTTAAATTAAGAGCTAAGAAATTGGGGGGTGAGAGAGCTGCTGCTAGTAAGTCATCAAGTAGAATGCTCTCACATGTAGAAATGGCAACCATCTTTGGCACAATTACAGTATCCTGAAACAAGAACCAAACCCTATAAAATGCTTGAATTATACACATATGGTCTTGACAACCCCCCCTCCGGGGGGGGCACTAATAAATAAAAGCAATTTAATAGAGGTAGTATCATAACTTAACTACAAATTTGCAGAGGATGAGCTCTAAATAAAGGAATCCAGACAAATTAGAAATTCTCCTACGTATTATTAGAATAAGACATTGCTAGAGAGTAAATAATTTAAACAAGAACGAGTCAGATGAAAAATTCCTTTATAAAATTAAATCTGACTCATCCACTTCTGACAATGGCTACCCTGCTCAAATTTTTTTTTTTTTTTTTTTACTGCTGCACCTCCAGGCTTCTCATCAACAGTATCAATCACCATTCAATTTAAAGAAGTAATGACTTTCTACCTAAGGGTGTGCATAAGCCAGGAGAGGGTGGGGAATATGTTAAAACATCTGAACCAGGGATGGAACAGAGTAACCTGAAGATTACCTTCCTGAGCAAAACTGATGTTAAAGAACTGAGATTTTGAGAACTAGCATACCCACAACAAAGTGTATGCCACAAAGTCTTATTTCTTAATTTTATACCTAAAAGACTGCAATGACTCAGAACAGGAATTAAATACATCCAACCATAATTCACTGTACATGACACCACACTTTATAACAACGGCTATTTTCCCATTATTTTTTGTTCTTGCAAATAAGGATATAAACTCATAAGGTAAATTATTACAACTGGAATCTCATGAGTAATTTTTAAATGCAACCAATTCTGCTAATTAAAATCTCTAAATTTACTTAGGCAGGTTGATTTGATTCAAGTAGAAAGAAACTCATCAACGCAAGCAGAGCTTACCTGGGCCACTGTCTAAAAAAAGGTCTATGTCAAAAAAAAAGCAAAATGTGCAGGAACATCAAGATATTTAAAAATTCCTACCAAAAAAAATAATAAACACTAAATAAGGAAAAGGTTACGCACTTCCAATTTATGCTCTTTCTCTGCAAGGGCCTCCTTTTGACAACGAAGAAAATCTGCTAACATTCGAGTGAGCTGCTTCCTATCATCTATTTCAGCCGCCAATCTGCCATTGTAATCTGCCAGCAACATGCAAGCATCCTCTACCATTTTAGAAAGCCTTTCTCCAGATTCTTTATCTAAGAAAAGCACAAAATAAAATTATTACAAAACAAAAACAATGTCATATACTGTTCCATCACCCCAACTCCCCCCAAAACTCAGATCACATTTAGGACATCTTACCTGTTATCTTATCTAGTAGAGATACTTCTTGGACTTCAACAGGTAAAGAAGCTATCCTCTGATGAACTGCTGCATCACCTGAAGCAGCATTTTCTAGATCTTGTAATGCTCTAACGAGATCTAGAGTCTAAAAAGTTGTACAACATTAGAACCAAAATTAATAATGCTTAAACAAACACAGAAGACAAAATTTATCTCATATTTCTGAATCCTTATGAGCTATACTTACTAGTTAAAAGTTTCAAATATAAACTGCTTTAGATGACACTCCATTTCTCTCATATACTAAAAAAAAGCAACTACACTATGGTAGGTACTGGAAATATACAACAGAGATGTGGCCCTTAGCCATGAGGAACTCATATTCCAATGGTGGAGACAGTGTAAAAATAATTATCTCACTATTAAATTGATGTGACTAGTTTACATGTCAAATACACACAGTGGTAAAAGGGAAGGCAGGCTATAACTTAAACCTGGAGAATACAAGTTTTATGTTTGATACATTCATTATATTTTCATTGTACATGAGAAGAATTTTTTAGTATGAAATTGAATATTGGGAAAGGGGGATACAAATCATCTTCTATCACAACATAGGAGTCTCCTAGACTCCATTTCTAAATGATATAATTAAAGCATAAGAAAAATGTAGTTCTGGAATATGTTTAATTAAACAAGGTGCCTTCAACTATTCTGTAGTTTGTTAATAAGATCATTAAAATATTACAAAATTCCACATATCTGGTAACTTATATAATACTTAACCAGTATAACAATTATTTTATTAGGATATTTTAGGTGCACAGTTTCACATACCAGCTATAATTAGGAGAGAAGGGCAAATCTCTGCTGGTGATTTCACAATTCATAATATCTATACACTTATTCCAAAGAAAAATGACTAAATTTTATTTTTACTAGTCTCTATTCTATCCCACATACTTTCTTTTCTTTTTTTCTCAGTTGCTAAAACTAAATCCTGGGTCACTAGGTAATTATGCACATACTAGAAAAACATAGGAAATTACTGGTTTTATATAAATATTAAGATGATATTGATGCCAGTTACTGATTTTTCTTTAAGCTATTCCCTTACAAAAAATGCTGTCACTGGGGTCTAGCAAATAGTAAGTGATTAAACATCAGAAGAATGATTGGAATCCAGTAAGAAATATGCTATCCCAAGTGGACTTTGAATTCATTACTATATGTTTCAAGTTCCAATGTTAAAAAAAAATTTCATTGTAAGATATATTCCCCTTCTACAATTAAAATGAGCTTAAAAGCAATGACAACTACCAGGAAGCTTGTTTCTCACCATGCCCCAATTCTCTCTCTCTCTCTCTCTCTCTCTCTCTCTCTCTCTCTCTCTCTCACACACACACACACACACACACACACACACATTTTTTCATCAGTCTTAGAAAGTTCTAAAACTTTCTGGAGAAGGCTGCTTTATGGTCTTGACCATGCATTCATGCTTTAACCACAACTAATTTCCATCACATCTTCACATTCCTACATGAGTTAATTCTAAGTTCCCAATGCTGGGTCAAGGATAAGATAAGAAAGCAAAGTTGTCTGAAACAACACTAGCCTGGACTTTCTAATAGAAGAGAATGAAATGAGTTTGACTGGATCCTACAAAGAAAAATTTGAGTCATTCTTATAAAGAATGACATAAATAAAATGGTGACCACAAAACTGAACCACTGAGCACTTAACAGTACAAGTAATTTGAAAGTGGTCAATATAAAACAAAAAATTTATGCAAGTACTGTAGAAGAGTCAGAGGGTTACACAGAGATACTCCTAAGAAGTATAACTAAGGTTACTCTTTCATCAGTGAGAGTAGGAGAGGATCAGGCCCTATATCTAGAACTCGGATACACTACCTGTTCATGTAATTAAAAAAAGCTCTTAAAACAAAGTGAGTCTGTCTTATTCCCAATGGAAAGAAATATAAACCTTAGTATTTGGCTGTTCTTACAACTCTTCTGTTAAGCTCTTATCCACGGTGACCACATGAGCTTTGGCTTTCCTGTCATTCAATCGACAGGTAACTTGGCTCCAGTTCTAGTGGAGCACCTTGGTTGAATTCTTTCTGCCTCCCTAGTACTAACACTGATATTAATCCATAGTTCTAGGAAGTAATTGATTGTACCTTTTTTCCAAGCCCCCATCATGGGGAAAGAGCTCTACTCAGCCTCTGGTTTTATGCAGAAGTTCGGGTCCAGTCCTCCAATACCATGGAGCACTGTGAGTTCTTGTTATCCTCTGGGATACTAATTTCTGGCAATGCGCCTGCTTTAAGATCAAAGCTCAGCAGGAACAAGACTCTAGCTCACAAACTGAGTTACGTTTCAGTAACAACTCTAGCCCACCATGATAATTACCTTGTTTTAACAGTATGGCTATGTCTTCATTTTCTCCTTTAAAATTTTATCTGTCTCTCCTATATGTTTGAAACATAGAAGGAGGAAGCTTTAAGACTCAATGCCCACATAATTAAAAGTTAAAAATGTCTTTCTGGAATCATCTAATGGGTAAGGAATGAATGCTATGCTATACCAACCTGGAAGGACATGGAATATTGTTAACAATTCTAATCCATCTTTCTTACCATGGAACTATATGGCCCTATTATAGTCACACAGAGCTCTATAAATACATACTTGTTTCTTTAACACTCATTTTTACATGTTTTAAAGCAAAAATACTTAAAAGGGCAGTGTCACCTCTAGGAATGGAATTTTCAGTGTACTTACGTCATAGAACAGTCTTATATAGTGTTTTATTTAAGAAACTATTTAAATAGTGGATATCTAATCAGGCCTAATCACACTAACCAATCAGAAATCCTCTTTCTGACTGCCCTAATATGTAATACATAACATATTAAACATAAGCAATCTGTTAATCCAAAAATGAGATATTCATGTAGTTTCTTTCTTGTATCCAGAACTACAATAATAATCAATTTACAATAGTAAAACACTGAAAGTAGTAAAGCTTGGTGGCCACATGAAATAAGAGTAATTAATGTAACTCCCTTAACAGAGAAAAACTTCTACCTGTGGTGGTTCACTTGGAGATCCCAGAGAGGAACAGTTTTCATTTTCATCCACCTTTATCTGTTCATAAGTTCGCTTCCTAGCCTTCTTATCACCATCTGAATTTTAAGAAAATTTAAGTTTTAATGAAAGAATACATTTTTTTAATCCTTGCCTAAGGATATTTATTGATTTGAGAGAGAGAGAGAAACATCAAGGTCAGAGAGAGACATCAACTGATTGCCTCCTGCACGCAACCCAACTAGGGATTGTACCACAATCTAGATATGTGTCCTGACAGGGAATTGAACCTGTGACCTTTTGGTGTATGGGGTGATGGTCCAACCAATTAAACCACCCAGCAAGGGCAAACGAATGCATTTTTATGAAGAGATTATGTAGAAAGACTATATACTTACACAAAGCTTGCTTAAGTTGTTCTAATACATCATTTTCATAAACAGACCTTTCTTCCCAAATAGATAACACTCTTCCAAGGTGCTTCTTACAACTTTCATCAGTTTCACTAAAGAAAAAAGAAATAACGGTAAAAATGCATTGTGCTATTGAAAGCATAATAGTGATTTTAAATACAATCAGATATTTCCTGAAAAAGCTGTCCAAATGTTTACTGAGTATCACTATCTGACCAGCAATTCAGGGGTGCAATGATGAAGGCAGACGTACTTCTTGCTTCCCTTAAAGAGTTCACAGACATATTCTTAAACAAAAAATTACCAAAAAATGCAAACATGTTAGTACTAGCTACTAGGGGTTTACAAAGAAGATGCCCCTAACCTAATGGGCACTGAACATGAGGCTAAGGAAGATTCTAATAGGTGATTTTGAAATTTATTCAACAAATATTTATTGATCAAGGCACCATCTTTGACACAGGAGATACAAACAGAGCCTTCCAGCAGCTGTTTTTTATAAGTGCCACAAAAGAGAACAAGGTGTAACAGAGAGACCAGACCTGGCTCAGTTCTAAAGAGACCAGGAAGGGTATTTTAGGAAGCAATATTGAATCTGAGATTTAAAGACTGGATACACAGGGAGTGGGAAACAGACTACTCCCAGCTACTTCCTATTGCCTTCATCACTGCAACTGTAGACTGAGCCACTATTATCTCTGGCCTGGATTTTTTAAGTCTTCTCATTGGTCTCCCAGACTCTAGTCTACTCTCTCAGTATTCTCAACCACGTAGATCTGATCACACTGCTCTCAATCTTCTAAGAGCTGCCAACCATACTAAGAATAAAGCCAAAATCCTTAACCTGGGCCACAGGATGGACATGTTCTGCTTTCTGCGTACCTCTCAGTCAACATCCCTAAATATCTTCTCCCCTACAAATATCCTTGCTGATCCTCATACATGCCCAGCACACAGCTCTCTTACTGTTTCTGCCAAGTATTCTCTCTACTTAGAATCTTTCCTTCCTCAATAGTCACATACATAATAGGTAGTCAATAAATATTTTATTAAATTCTAAGAAGATACAACATATATAAAAGCCTTAAGGCAGAAAGAAATAAAAGAGGTTTGGTTAGCTTAAACTGCAGACTATAAATTATGTGTGTGGAAATGTCAGAAGTCTGAAGAGGTAGGCAGGGTTTAAGACATTTGACCTGATCTTTTCGACTGATAAGAACCGCTCCAAGACAAGGGAGTGTTATGATCAGCTCTCCAGTTCTGGCTACAGTTTCCTAAATGGATTAAACAATACTGGAGGCTACTGCAATTATACAGAAATGTCAATATGGTCATTGAAATAGAAAGAAATCTTAAGAACCAAGGGAACTACATGTAGTATATGGGGTAGGGGAGTGAAGGACAAAGGAGAGCATGATATATTATAAATCACAATATCACAGAGAGTTAAAGATAACACCTAATTTCTCCCATGGGTATCTGAATAAATGGAGTTGCCCCTTCACTGACAAAGTCAAACCTAGCGGAGAAGCAGTTTGACAGGGAGCTAGGACATAATGAACTCAGTATTAGACACAATGAGTTTGAGCTGTTTGGAGGCATGCAACTAGAAATTCAATAGGCAACTGGACATACACGTCTAAAAGAAAAAACATCTCGACTAGAGCATAAGATTGGGAATTATTAGGGTGTGGATAGTAACTAAGTAGACGCATTGTATGAAATCATTGAGAGGGCAAGTGAAGAATATGACCCCAGAAGAGGGTCTAGGACTGAATTCTTAAGATTTAAATTCCAACACACAAAGAGATGGTAAAAGATGGTATCTAAATTGAAGGATAAATAATATTTATTTAAGAAACTGCAATACTGCAATATACTGCAATATTTCACTGTGTAATTTTTTAAAAAATGCATGCAATTTGACTAATTAAAACTATAGGGCATATGCTGAATATACATTCATATTAAATCATTCAACACAAATCATCATTCACCACTGAATTCTATAATTTAAACTGATTAAATAGTCTGTCCCAATAATGTTTATCCAGTAATCTATCAAGTATTTGCATATAATGTTTGGAAATAAACATTTAAAAAGGGCATAAGCCAAAGTAGACTCCTACCCTCAGAATCTTTCTGTAGCAAATTTTTCACCATATTAATGACTTTAAATATATTTTCAAATCATTTAATAATCTTATGACATATACCCTCACACTAGAAAACCTTAAAATCACAAGATGAGGAGAAAACATACAAAGTTTATCCAGAAATATTAGCTGGCAGATTGACAGCTTTATAAGCACACAAATTTTCAATTCAACATTTTTTTTTTTTTAACAAAGTTCATTCCAATATGGCAGTTGCTTTTGGTCTCTTTAAAGAAAGCTGTAATTCAAGTACTCCAAATGCTCACCTTAGCAATAGTTCAAAAAAAATTTCCTTCACAGAAAGTATGTAACACATTTATAAATGCCATTTATAGGTAAGTCTTTTCAAATGAAAACTTCAAAGAGATACATTCCAGGGATTTTAACAGCTTAAGGCAATTTTAGCAAAAGGGCATATTATGCATTTAAAACAGATTACCTAGTACCCAAAACAATTATCATACCTTGAAACATGCTTAAAAGCCTCCACTATAACTGGTGCAAAATCTTTTGTAAACTCCGGCCCCTTCCTTTTGCTGTTCTGAATGACATCATTGGCTAGGTAGAGAAAAGTAAGCTTCCTGTTTGGTTTGGCTGAAAAATAAAAAAATTTAAAAATCTACTTAAAATATCCTCACTTAACTTGGAAAAACTATCTCTCCACCTCAATTAAGCAGTTTGAAAACTACAACAAACCTATTAACCTTATTTATCATGTTCAACCCTAGCTTCTCATTCTACAACCAAACAGCAAGTCACTATTCTTCAACTCAGGAGGATAATTACTCTGGTTTCAGATCAATCATGTGAGGGGAAAAACAGTACTCAAGAGGCAGCGGTAGTCAATGATATATCCTTCGGTTTCCTTGCAATTTTACCAAGACACCCAAACTACTTTTCCTTGATTGCTTGCTTTATTGCTATTCCCAAACTAATATTTTTTTACACTGAAATCCTCATGTCTGTGCAAAAACGCATCTCTATGACTCTTTCCTGCACAAAATTTCATTAAAACTAGTAAGCACTATATGAAATCCAGCCTTTTAAGAATAATTCACAAACAATTCAAATAAAAGATCAATTACAAGGCTTCATAAAGCAGAGTGAGGGATATTAAATAAACAATATGAAACAAGCAAGGTTACAGAAATGACATCTAATTTAACTAATTCATGATCAGTTCATAATCTAGGTTATTCATAATCAGAAAGTGGTAGGGCCATTATTTTCTTAAATTGTACAGACCATATGCCTATTCATTTTGATATAATGAAGACATCATAATCTAACTTAATCATCCATTTTCCATAGAGATTGAAATTTAAAACCACAGTAGATGACAAAAGTGATAAATACAACAAACAGCTAAAATGTTATTGTGTTACCTATAAATATAAGAGTCGTCCTTTCAGGGGAAAGCCTTCTACTGGAGAGAAGCAGCAAAAAATAGAAAAATTAAAAAAAAAAACAACCCATACACAGAAACACATGCCAATCAGCATTAATGTATGTCTTATAGAAGGAAATCAGAAGAAAAGCCATTATCTTGAAACAAAAATCTATTTAAAATGTATTACTAATTTTGGACAGCCTCTTTTATTGCCCTGGTAAAATGAATCACAAGAGACCACAAAACATGTTCAATAGATGGATATGTGGTTGTAAAGCACGACCTACTTTAACTTAGTAATGGTCTTTGCCACAGAAAGTACATTATCAACACGTAATTCTTAGAAGAACTTTATCTGTCCCAGTCTGGACAAAGAGTCAAACACAGCCTGCTGCTGCTTAATAGCTGAGGTAGGTGACAAATGGATAGAGCTGGTGTATTCCTGTATTACTGCCAGGATTCCTAAGACTTTTCACAGCCTATCCTTTGCTTTAGCTCCTTTAAAGATTTTCTTGTTCTCCAGATAACATTTTAACTCGTTATAATGAAACAAAGACCCAAAAAGTCTGTCTCCACCCTCTATACTACAATGCTTCCTGCCCACCACGACTTCTACTGCTCCAGCTTTCCCAGCTCCTACCATCCTGCAGACCTCAGATACATGGGTTCCTCTAGTTTTCCCTGACCACCCTATGAAGCACTTAACCCAGCTATAATTGTCTTTATTTAACCTAGTGCTCCTCAACTAAACTAAGGTCCACTGAAAGTAACAATTGTCAATCTCATCTATCAACCTATGAAAATCAAGCCCAGAAGCTGATTCAGAATTTGCTCATATTTACTATGTCAATCAGTTTTGGCCTAGACCTGTGTCTTTAGTTATTGGTTCCACAAACTTGTCGTCTGGTCTCAAGCTCACCCTGCATAGCTGAAAAGGGGACACATGGAAAATTATAGTGCTCTCAGAAACCTCAACTTCGCAGTATGAAAGACCAACTGTTCTACAGCTACTCCAACTTATTTTTTCTTTCTTTTTCTTTTTTTGTACTTTTATGAGTTTACTTCAGTCTAACTGAAGACAGATATCATGGAGAAAGATCTCAAATGCTCCCAATTTTTGCTATTTTCAATGTACTGAATTCAAGTATTTTCGTTTCCTCCCCTCCATTCTAGAGTACTCACAAATCAATAACCTATTTTAAAAAATGGGCAAGTACTATGATGGGAAGGTCAAAGAAACACAAATGTTAAGAAATTAAAACCAATTATCAACCTTTTACCTAATGGTTAAGATGAAAGTATGATGCTAACTGAAATTGGCAAGAGTATGGGTAAGAGTATCACCAGCAGATACTTTCGCATATTTGTAGTTAAAATATAAATTAGTGCAATGTCGGAGAAAAGTAATTTGGCAGTATCCATGAAAACTGTGACTGCACAAGTCCCTTCACTCTGCAAATTTAACTTCTAGGGATCTATACTACTAATGTATTATCATAACTGCACAAAGAAATCACTGATGATATTTGTAATAACATCAATAAAGAGATGACTAAATAAATCATGTTACATCCATACAATCCAATACTCTACCAGCTATTCAAATATGGTATATACCAATATGGAAAGATATCTAATACATAATTTTAAGATGCACATATACATACAACCATACACACACAGTAAAGAGCTCTACTGGAGGAAGGTCAAGAAAGAATCTGGGGCAGGGGGAGATGTCAAGAGTTACCAACAAAGATTTAAGTCACAAAGGTAAAATACATGAGGGGTATTAAATGATCACGCTGAGTCTATGTGCTGAAGAAGGCTTCTGCAGAGTGCTGACTTGATGCTCCACCAATTTACTTTGTCCTACAGTTGCATTTACCCCCAGTCTCTCCTGTTACAATGTTTGGTAGAAAGGAAAAAAAAACAAAGGAAAAGAAAGGAGAAGGGGAAGCAGGGAAGGAGGGAAAGACGGATGGAAAGGAAGGAAGGACGGAGGGAGTAAGACGGACTTCCAGTCAAGATGGAGGTGTAGGTAGAAACACACCTCGCCTCCTCAGCTACAGCATAAACTACAACTAGACTACAAAACAAACATCACCCAGAATAGTCAGAAAATTGAGCTGTATGGAAGTCTGACAACCAAGGATTTAAAGAAGTCACATTCACCCAGACAGGTAGGAGGGGCGGAGATGTGTGGAGGGGAACAGAGACACTGAAGGGGCAGTCCCACATCCACATGTGGTGAATACAAATAGGGAGCAAAAACTCAGGAGCAAGAGGTCCCAGCCCCAGACCACACCTCCCAGCCCAGGGTTCTAGCTCCAGGAATGTAGGTACCCATAAAAATCAGCAGGGGCTGAGGTGGTAGAAGAAACTTCAGGATTCTCAAGAGACTCACCCTAAAAGTTTAAGGGCCTGCAACAGACTTAGGACTCACACAGACCCATGCCCTCGGGGATTGAGCTGGAAGGGCAGCAGTGGCATATGGGGAGAAAGTGAAATGACTGGCAACAGATTGAGTGCCAGGAGACAGATTCCTCCTGGGCAAACCTCCAGAGGCCAGTCAGCAGCACTTTTCCCTCTCCGAGCACTACCCCACACAGTCACCGTTTGGTGGCACCGGTTTCCCTACCATAGCAATACCTAAGGTGCCACCCCCTACAACTCGCAGGTGCACTTTTCTATAATAGGCCATGTTACTAAGACAGGAAGTCAAGGCTGCTCTACCTAATACACAGAAACAAACAAAGGGAGGCTGCCAAAATGAGGAGAAAAGAAATATGGCCCAAATGAAAGAACAGAACAAAACTCCAGAAAAAGAACTAAACGAAATGGAGACAAGCAACTTATCAGATGCAGAGTTCAAAACACTGGTTATCGGGATGCTCCAGGAACTCATAGGGTACTTCAACAACAAATAAAAAGGCCCAGGCAGAAATGAAGGTTGCATTACGTGAAATAAAGAAAAATCTACCGGGAACCAAGAGTGGAGGGCATGGAGCTGAGAAATCAATGATTTGGAACACAAGGAAAGAAAAAGCATTCAATCAGAACAGCAGGAAGAAAAAATAATTTAAAGGAAAAAAAGAGGATTAGCTTAGGAATCTCTGAGACATCTTTAAATGTAACAATACCCAAATTATAGGAGTGCCAGGAGGAGAAGAGCAAGAAATAGAACATTTATTTGAAAAAATAAGGAAAGAAAACTTCACTAATTTGGTGCAAGAAACAGGCTCCAAGTCCAGGAAGCACATAGTCCCAATCAAGTTGGACCCAAAGAGGACCACGCCAGGACACATCATAATTAAAATGCCAAAGGTTAAAAATAGAGAGAGAATCTTAAAAGCAACAAGAGAAAAGGAGTTACCTACAAAGGAGTTCCCATAAGATTGTCAGCTGATTTCTCACAAGAAACTCTGCAGGCTAGAAGGGACTGGTAAGGAGTATTCAAAGTGATGAAAAGCAAGGGCCTATAACCTAGATTACTCTATCTACCAAGGTTATCATTTAGAATAGAAGGGAGGATAAAGTGCTTCCCAGACAAAGTAAAACGAAAGGAGTTCATATTCCACAAGCCATTGCTACATGAAATGCTAAAGCAAATTATCTAAGAAAAAGATCAAAATGAAATTAAAATGGCAACAAATTTACAACTATCAATAACTAACTCCAAATAAACTAAGCAAAACAAAGAGAACAGGAATAGAATCACAGATATGGAGATCACATGGAAGGTTATCAGCTGGGAAAGGGAAGCGACAGAATTGGGAGGGAAGTGCAGGGATTAAGAAGCACAAATTGGTAGGTACAGAATGGGCAGGGGGATGTTAAGAACAGTATAGGTAATGGAGAAGCTAAAGAACTTATATGCATGACCCATGGACATGAACTTCCAGGGTGGACTGCTGGAAGAAATGGGGGTACTGCGTAGGTGAGGGGAAAACTGGGACAACTGTAATAGCATAATCAATAAAATATAGTTAAAAAAGGAAAGGAAGGGAAAGGAAGGAGAGGGGAGAGGAGGGAAGGGAGAGAGAAAGACTCCACCTAGGTCTAGACAAACGGACATCCTTCCATTCTGAAAGGCCAAGGCAATTTAAGATCCTGAAATAATTTTAAAAACCTTGACTTTGATATATGGAACAAATAAATATTTAAAATCTTGAAAAGAACAAACTTCATCCTAGACCAGAACACT